CTTTTTAGAACTACTTTTAGAACAAAATAAAATGCTTTCTGTTTTTCCCAAGTGTAAAGAAAGCTTATTATCAGTCATCCAATCGACACACGTAGACAGCTGTTCACTGAGCTTTTCCTCAATATATTTAGGATCAGGATTTGAATAGAGTAGTACGCTGTCATCTGCGTACAATAATAGTTTGAAGTCTTTTATACAAATACACATATCATTTATATAACTTGAAAATAGAATTGGGCCTAAAATGCTTCCCTGAGGAACACCGCAAGTTATAGGCATTAGTTTGGAACGAATATCATGAATGGCCACTACTTGGTGCCGATTAGATAAGTAGGATCTAAACCAATCTAAACTTGCCTTATCAAAACCCATTAGTTGTAACTTCTTCAATAAGACGCAATGATTAACTGTATCAAAAGCTTTTTGCAGATCAAGGAGCACCATACCAACAAAGCGCCCTTGGGAAGTTTCTCTCCTCAAATAATCAGTCAAATGAATTAGACATGTTTCAGTCGAATAATCATGTCGAAAACCAGATTGAAATTCATAAATTATATCATTTTCTTTGAAGTATCTTTCAATTTGAACACAGACCGATTTTTCTAGAATCTTTGATGCTACGCTTAAAACACTAATAGGTCTATAGTTGCTAACATCAGTTTTATCTTTCTTTTTATAAAGTGGAGTCACTTTTGCTATTTTCATATCCTCTGGAAAAGTACTCGTCAAGATAGATAGGTTCATTAAGTAACTTAGAGGCTTAAATAAAACCTTCGCACCATCTTTTAGAAATTTAGCTGGAATCAAGTCTAACCCAGTACTTTTTGATACATTCAACTTACGTAACTCTTTGAAAACAAATTGTTCACTGATTGGTAATAACTCGAAGCTGTTTTCACGTACACCTTTTCTTTCGTAAAAGTCACGAATACAATCATTGTCTGCGCTGAAAAAGTCTTTGGAAGGGGGGAGTTTGTCTACTAATTTGGCAGCCACATTTGTGAAATGAGAATTGAATTCATCAGCGATGGCCATCTTATCATGACATAATTCCCCATCAATTTTAATGACAGATTCTTGTTCTTTTCGCTTCTTATTTTTCAATCCTAAGCTTTTTAGATTCTGCCAAAGTTTTTTCGAATCTTGTTTATTTTCTTCTATCTTGTTTTGTAAGTAAACGAGTTTAGCCCTTTTCACCTCTCTTTGGACCATATTTCTTAATACTCTGTATCTTTTATAGAGCTTCTCATCTTTTGCTCTTTTCCTCCATTTTTTGTATACTATATTTCTCTCTTGAATTAGGGAAAGAATATCTTTAGTCACCCAAGTTTCTGATCTTTGTTTTATTCTTATCCGTTTCAGTGGCGCTATCATATTCAAATTTGAGATAAAAACATGTTGAAATATTGACCATGCCTCATTTACATCTGTACAGTCAGTTATTCGTGACCAATCAACAACAGATAGTTGAAGATTGAAAGACTCTTCTGTATATTTTTTCATGGATCTGATATCATTAGTCCTGTGATGACCTATAGCCAGTCTAACATTTTTCCGTGTACAGAAAGTAAAATAATGGTCGCTAATACCTAGATCAATGACACCACTTTGACTTATTTTATTTTCTTTGGTACAACCAATATGATCCAATAGAGAAGAACATGTAGGTGTAACGCGTGTTGCCTCTTTAATGAGTTGACTAAACCCATGAAGACTCAACAAGTCAATATATTTTTTAGCCAGTGGCGATTTGCGAAGAAGACAAATATTCATGTCTCCTAAAAGAATTATTTCGTCATCCTTTTTTAATGTATCAAGAATATTGGACAATTTCTCGATAAACAAATTGTTTTTCGGAGGTCGATACAGAACGCCAACAACAATTGGTTTTGATCTTGGTATAAGCAAATTTATCCACAGGGATTCCGTATCTCCAGTACTTATAGCATCCATAATATTAAATGCAATATCATTTTTGATATAGAAACATACACCACCTCCAGAGCCAGAGGATCGATCATGGCGTATGATTTTATATCCGTCTATTTCAATTTCTTCATCATTTATGGAATTGTTTAACCATGTTTCAGTGAAAGCAATAATAGACAGCCTTTTTCTTTTAAAAAGAATTCTAAGTTCCGATATCTTGTTTAGAATAGACCTCACATTGAGGTGTAAAAAATGAAGACCTTTAATTTTAAACTTTTCTTCAAATTCTTGAAAAAGAGAAGTGTTTTCATCTTTGAGGTTTGGCTGAATTATTCTTGCTATCGCTTGCTTTTCAGGTGTAACGCGCGTTACCTTAAAATAGTTTTCTTTTAGTCTATCCTCGTTTTGGCTTTCTTTCTCTAAACAATCGTCAGTAAATATTGATTCACAAAAAGATGGCAGACAACATGTTAAACAATTCCACTTCTCATCAGGGCATTCATAATATAACCTGCGGTACTCTGAAAAACTGATAGCTTGACAATTAGTGTGAAACCATTTTTTACAATAAGAACACAGAAGGCCGTGTTGATTACATTTGACTGGCTTATCACAGTTCCCACAAGGGAACTTATATTTTCGACCGTCAACTATAATTTTCGGATCATCACTAGATTTTGTCAAACTTTCACTTAATTCAATACCCTTCTTACAAATTGAAGATAATTCGCCCAGTCTTTCATGTCCACCTTGGATGGTCTGAAGGCTGGTTTCAGTCGTGACCTCTGTTTGACTGCACTGAAATCCAAAGATCTCCCAGAAACAGCTTCGGCGTAGGACTTTACGGGGCTGCTTTTTTCCTCATCAGAATGAAGACTCTGGTTTTCTCGGTAGATGGCTTGATGCCGCCTTGCTCCAGGTTCACTGCCTGTAACTTGATCGGACGACCGTTGAGTCCAGCCATGGCCTCGTGTTGTCGATTGGTCAGCACTGTTGATGAGGTGTTTCAGGTTGCCTGCCAAGATTCGTTGACCGGCTCTGTTGAGGTGAACGCCATCACGCCCGAGATGCTGCTCGCTGATATCATTGTTGATGATGAGGCCCCATCTGTTCTCGCTGGCTGCCAACTCCATCAGATAGTTGATCTCATCAACCCGCTTCTTGTCCGCTTCACTCTCTCCTCTACGATGGATGATCGTAGAGACTGAGACGTTAAACCCCTCGGCAGCAACAGACTTGCCGAGGTCTGTGATTTGGTGGCAAACTTCACCAGCACCCTCAGAGATGTTGTTGGTGCCAGCGTGGATGATCAGTTCTCCCCCTGGCTTGAGAAACTCGCAAGGTGAAGAGGTGAAGATGTCTCTCACTTTTGCACCGGGAAAAGAGACGCACTTCACATTCTTGCTGCGGGAGAGATGTCTTCCGTCAATGTGTTTAATCATGGAATCACCGACCACAATTACATCTCGTTTGTTGCGGATCACACTATGTCGGTGGCGGTATCCCTCTATCTGCTCATGGTATGATGGTGAAGTAGAAGTAATACTAGTAGGTGTTGACAAAGATCGGCCTGAGCTGTCATCAGTTGCGTCGCTGTCAACAGTTGCGTCGCTGTCATCAGTTGCGTCATCAGAGAGAACTTCAGGATGGGTGATGTTGGTTTTGGAGAAAAACTTCAGGTGCTTGGCCTTGTATCCATTCAGTTGATCTTTCATTGGCATTGATACACTCTTGGCACTGTTGTCTGATTTCGTGTTATCGGATAATATTTCAAACCGGTTATGCGTAGCAATTGTCGGGAAATATTTGGTGGTAGGCCTAGATACTTGTTGTTGTGCCTTCAGATTCCCTTGCTCCTTCTCCTTCTCCTTCTCTGTCTCCTTCTCCTTCTCACTTGCAATACATCCTGACTTATGGATCCTGCTGAGTATCGTCGTAGAAGTAGAAGTAGAAGTATGCTGTTCGAATAGATTGTTGAACTTCTTCTCGATAGTATCGAGCCTACTATTCAAGCCTTTCATTTCACTCAGTACATTATGCAGTAGTTGTCGGCAGTCTGCGTCATCATTGAAGACATCATCAGGCTTTTCATGTTTATCTTCATCTACATCACCAGCGGCATTCGTGTTCTTTATTTCGTCTAGGCCTACTGCATTTTCTAGTCTTTCAAGAAGGATCGCCTTTACTCCGTTTGTATGCATACCTCTTTTCTGTAACTCAGCACGTAGTTGCTTCACGCGGAGTCCACGTAAATTTGTTGGCAAAGTTTCCATGGTTACGTCACATGAAGCGTTGCTGGGTTGGTATCTGCTGGTCCTTTGCGTAACTTAACTAGTATGGCGCAATATTTCTGCGCACAATATTATTGTTTTGATGCTACGCAGAATGTTCAAATTTGAAATATAAATTCGCCAAAAAACTGGATTAAAATTGACGAAAAACGAATATATCTCGGAAAATGTTCACATACCGTCGAAAAGAGTGAAATGTCCACAATCACAGGAAAATTTCCAAGACGTAGATGTATAACAGTCAAAAGAAAGTGCACAATAAACGCACAAAATATGGGAATTTACGGAGCACCACAAACACACGTCTGCCTCTGTCAGAATTTTGGCAACGATGCACGCAATATTACATTAATGGCCAAAATGATTATAAGACATTACGTGCATTTCAGTCCTGATAACATACAATATTCATGAGATATTCTCATGAAAAAATAGATATAATATCTATTTTTTTCACCAACCCGGCCCCTTCAGCAAATTCTACTCATTGGATTTCGATTTTTTGTAGATTTATGTCATCTTTTGTTCTTGATCAGATGAGGAAGGGGCTGCTAGTATGCCTAGTAAAAAAACATTCTGTTTTTAAGTTAGGACCTTCGACCTCGTGAAGGTTATGGTTGAAATTTGCATCTAAAACTTCTAATGCGAGTCCATTGAAATCTCAATGCAACTGCCATAAAAGATACCCAGATAAGAATAGAAAGGAACCTTGATGCAGGGATCGAGTACCCTTGGAATTTCCCACAATTCAGCCTATGGATGATTGTGCGCATGCGGAGAAGGCAACCTTTCGCACACACATCCGGACCAGTGTTGTCATTACTCACAACGCCGATAATGTTTTTTGACATATTTTGCGAAAACATGACTTTTCGAGAGGATTTTTGACAATCGCGAGGTCAAGTAATGCAGTGTTCTCTTTGACCTACGCATTGCACCTGGACAAAGTGTTTAACTCTGTGGTTTGAGTTGTAAATTGGTGTTAGAATCGAGCCCCTGCGGGTTCCCTTGATTTTTTGCAAAATGGCAAACAACAGCGCTGGAAGCAGGCAGACTACACGGGTTGCTGTGCGGGGAAGAAAGCGGACGCATGCAACGCAGGTGTATAACTACAATGGTGTGCACAATTCATATGAAGATAAAGACAACGACTTTCTATGGTGAGAATTGAGGTAGTAGCTAGAGGAATAATAATTCTTAAGCTTTATAAATCCAGATATTTGTTATGAGTTATATTACCACGTTACTGTATTTGGTCATTTGCTATTTTCAATGTGAGGTGTAGATCTAGATCTAGACTAGACCTAGGCCTGGACTAGCCGAGGCTAGAATCATGAAATGATGAATGAAGATTGTTTTGCATGTTCACTGATCACACAACATAACTTTATTTTTATTTTAGCTATGAGGAAGCAAGGTTGCATAGACAATTAAACGAATGATAAACCCCTTTCGTTATTTTATTGAGGTAGGTCTAGACTATAATTAAACACTTGCAAGTGTAGCCAGGCAAATAAATTAATCCGAAATGACATGAGTGAGAAACATTGCACTGAGATAAATGGTTGAATACTAAACAAAATGGAATGGACATGATAAATGTAGGCTCTAGTGAATAAATAAGCTTACAACAAAGTAGAAATGACGTCAAAAGTCCAATGAAGATGATGATGGGTGATGAATGAAGAAATGGGCTCACGCACACGCGATGATGTGAGCTAAGTAATGCTTGATGGCGGAAACACAACTTCGTTGACGTGGCTGAAGAGCGGTGAAGAATGCGATGTCGACGCAGACGCTCGTGATGAATGTTGATGCTCTCGGACAAGAAGAGAAGTGAAGAAATGTGGCACTCGAGGACGAAGCAGTGAATCGCTTGATGTCAGAGGTCAAGGAAAAAATAATAAAATCAAAGTCGGTGCCGATGCGAAGCAGTGAGTCGCTCGATGCCGGATGAGCCAAACTTTGAAGAGAATGTTCATCAGAGCTACTTTTGAAAAAAGTTCATGAAAATCACATGTATTCATGTCACAAATTTCATCCTCAAAATCGCTGAGAAATCAGTAGTAAAACTCTCAACAACAAAATATATGACAAACAAGTTTCTGTTTTAATGTTCATTTACCGGTATTCAGTCATACATTACTCTTAAATAAAATATACTTATCATTTTCTAAAAATACATTAAAATTTGAGTAGATAGCTTCTAAACATTCAAACACGTGAAAATGCTGTGTTGACCCAACCCCATGGAATGACCCATCTCTGCTCTGACCATTCATCAGTGCGCACTAGCGATAAGCTCCACATACATGTAGTTACGATTTCCGTACGAAACAACGTTCAGACTTGAATGGAACACTGATTCTTTATCAAGTTTTTGTTCAATGTTATGCTCAAAAATGTGTTTCGTTATGCGATGTTTTGTTACCGGGTAGACGTTCAGACTAGGACAAAAGTAATTACTTATCGTATACAATCCTTGTATAGCTACAACATACATGTACACAATGATTTCTGGTATCTGGGCGTAGGGTATAACTGACATCTCCTTGCTACATGTATGCACCTACATGTTCATGTATTCATATCGTTCACGTAATTATAGACCTTTGCAATTCAATGCTGGTATGTGTGTGTTGCGCTGCAAGAAAATATGTCCAGGATACATATGTAGGCTACAAATTTTGCTAAATAATGTGATCCATTAGTTTTTTTCATTGTATGATACCTTTTTTTATTTTTTTGTTTGTCTCAGTAGTGGTGAAAGAGCAACATCTGTTCGGTTAATACAATGGTACAGGACACATCTTACCAACAATTTTATGTTGCATTGTTGACATGAAGACGAAAATAAACTTCATAAAACAACACTTACCGGTAGATCTAGATCTAAGTTTGTGCCACTGCATCGCTAAAAAGTAAAAGAAGGGACCGTTACGGAGCTGCTTGTACAACGCTATTAACTGCATTCAGCTGAAATCACACCAAGTCACATTTCATGCAATTTCGCATTACACCGTACATTGTGGTAGGTATATTGGATAACAAATGTGCCTGCGATACAGTACTAGCTTAAAAATCTATGAAGATTTGCTAAATTACGATCATTTTGTAGGTAAACTTCCTGTAAATTAATAAGAATATTTATGAATTTGGTATCAGTTTGAGAAAATACATGAGAAAATTATGATTTTTTTTTTTCCTTTTTTTTTTTCTTTCCCTCTACGAAATGTCAAAGTTGGGGGTGCGGCCTATGCGGTGCTACAGCCTTATCGCCGGCAAATACGGTACAAGAATTTACTTAATTTTGGAGTGCCAATTAGGTCAATAGGTATGACTTTACATGGGCTGTGTACAGAGATCCACATTCTGTAGATTGTTAGACGATGTGGTCAAGAATATTGTGATAAAAAATAATGATCTGTTTAGTCAGTCCGCAGCATCGTGAAAAGTGCTCTATTAACAGCATTGTCTAAGGTTTGAGACCATAATTTACCTCTTCCCCAGTGTGGAACCTCAAATTTCAAAGACTTATTTTCAACAGCGAGTTTAATTTTGAAATAGAATTTCACTTTTCGAGTGAATCAAAATCATGGAGAATATAATACATTATAGCATGAAAATAAAAAGTGAAAAATTACCCAAATTAAGGCAAAATTTGGGGACAAGGAAATCATGAAAAGCCATGAAAATAGACAAATTTGGTGTCAATCGAGATTAATATTTCACAGATGAACTTACTTTCTTTTGTTAGCCTGTTCACTACACATGTGAAATGTGAAGGGCTGCAAAGGTCTCGTATGTTTTCATGGTTTTTGTGAGACGAGGAGCTGACCAAAAAATTCTGCAACAAAATGTACATCTACTATAAAACACAGCTGATCGCCTCATTAATGAGCTTGCTGTGGTCTGACCATGTTATTCTGTACTCTTCTCTGTCGTCTCGTGTCTCTTTCTTTCTCTCTCTCTTTCTTTCTCTCTCTCTTTCTTTCTCTCTCTCTCTTCCTCTCTCTCTCTTTTCTCTTTCTCTCCTTTTCTCACTCTTTTTCTGTGTTGGTGTACAATGTAGGATTCACATTCTATAGACTGTAATCATGATTATTGCACAGAAAAACTGAAGAAGTGTGCTATCACTCTCTCTCCCTCTCTCTCTCTCTCTCTCTCTCTCTCTCTCTTTTCCCTTTCTCTGTTAATTGACTTTGTATCTGAATGTCAGGAGAACCAAGGTATTAAGTCAGTTGAATTTGATTGTGTTAGGAATGGTGTACTGTCAAGGCCTGGGAAAGAGATTGGTTGACCCCATGAAACGACACAGATCATGTCCCACAGACAGACATATTGTGTGAACAGTTCCCCATTCCCACAGGCACAGGCAAATCGAGTCTATATCAAGTCTATGGTGTGTACTGTACAAAATACATGGAGGACATTCGTTGTATGGGAGAACAAATCTTCAAGAATATATTGTAAAAGGGCATATAAATGTGATAGGAATATGGTGTTGAGGACTTGGCGTTTCTGAAGAAATTAGTTTTGGGAAGGTCAACTTACATATTTAGCAGTAGCTTGATATATCATGGTCGCTGCTGTAGTTTAAAAGTCATATTATTTGGATATGCGCTCATGATTTATCCCTTTCGAGATATGGTTTTCATTTTATATATTATATGTTCACCCAGGTGAATGGATCCTGAGGGAGGGACATGGTTGAACACATCACCATTCCCACCAGCCAGAGCCTACATGTACTCTAGCAAAGACCTGTTGGCACCTTGGGTCCAACCACAGATTTTGCTCTGGAATGTAACCTTTTGAACTGTCAAAGTTCTGACTTTTTCTTATCCTAAGTAAGATGCTGCTCTGTGAGTGGTACTTTCCCTATTTACATAAAATTGGTTACAAAGAGGATGGATTTGTGATCCTTTGAACCACCTAATGAGATGTAGGATTCCTGCATTGAAAGTGAAAGTATTTAAATTTACTTGTATACATGTATGTCATTGCTTGACATCTAATAAACAAAAAAAGTAAACGGTATGGCTACCGGCAATGTACATGTGCAAACACAATTAAGTAATTAGAATAGTCCTTTCATAATCTGAAATCAATTTTGCATAATCAAGGGAGTGGGGAGACAAGATAAAAGAAACAACAAAGAAGCGATTAGCTTGATAACCATAGAATAACTGTATTTAAAGTCTAATGTAATGATGACTGAACTTCCAATTAAGCAACTTTACATGGGCAGATCCCTTAAACTCGATTTACACATCAACAAAATCACACATTTACATTTAGATATTTAGGCAAATGATGAGAAGAGCTTTTAAGAATTTCCCATAGGGATAGTGGGAATATTATTTATTGAAAATCTGGAGCAAAATTACCCATTCTTGACGCAATAAACATGTACCACCCGAACCAGGCTGGGATGGGATCCTGAATTTTCAGATGGATCTGTCAGAGACAATCCTACCTATCTTTTTATCTGCTATTTACAGCACGGTCTGGGTGATCAGAGGAAAAGGCCATTTAGTCTTGACGTCAGCGCCACCTAAGTGCGCAAAGACTAGGCTGATTCTTATGATGACTATAGATAGGCCGACGCATACCAAATCATGTCGTAGCCTGAGCAGTCTAGACGGGTCAAGATTACGTATTTCTCATGAAAAAGTGAAAATAATACCAGTTCAGATCAATAACTTTCATTTATAGCATCAGATCACTTGAGAATTTTTAATGAATGACAGGATTGAGTATGACTGAAGAGAGAATTTGAGAAAAGGGGGGGGGGGGAAGGGGGTGGGGGATATTGTTAGGTGTGTAAAGATAGGGAAGAAGAGTAAGAATATGAGTTGTAAAAAAGGAGTCAAATGCCCAGAAACAATTTAGAGGAATGAGGGTGAAGAGAATCCATCTAAATCAATTTTAACTGACTTCACATAATTTAGTGTATAGAGTAAAGACATGCAGTAATCCTCATACTTCTTATGATGCCAAGCACCATTAATGCACTGAAACTGCAAAGATACTAGAGCTCAAAAAGAGAGAGAGAAATATAAAACAAATTATCAGATTGCTAGGGGGTAAATGGTGTTGGATTTTTTTTTGTTCACACTTTTTGCTCAAAATTTGATAATGCACATGAAAGATTTCTTCTGCTTATTGTCTGCAAGAAATTTATCTATTTGATGTCAAGATCTGATAAGCAACACATATTACATGTAGGTTTGGTGACATTGATTAAGGTATACTTGCAGATCTTATGGCCTCCACTAATAGTTACATGTAGTAACACTCACATCATATTGTTCCAGTCCAAAGTGTACAGGATCCCTGGGGGACACCTGGACAGCTCACTACTATTTTCTTTTTCCACACCCCTCTCCTCCGTGCTTCAGTGAGAGTACCTGATTATATTCATTACGCCAACTTCCCACTACCATATTACCCAAGTGGACAAGATCAGGTCTTCCCACTTAGCATAGATTGGAAGAGGAACAAGACATTATAAGTGCATTCCCAGGGCCACCATAATTCAGACTGTGCCATGCACAACCCCTAAAAACATGTAGATGAAGATTGACTCACGTCTTAAAATGTATGTAAATGGGCCTATGCTTGGATATTAGTAATTGCTGATACGGATCAGGTTACTCTTAATTTTTTTTCACTCTTGGTTTGCTTAACCCCGTACTTTGCTTAGCCCCGTACTATCCTTAACCCCAGACTAACTTTTTTGGCTTTTCACACATGCTTTTTAGTCCTGTACTAAGCGCCTATCCCGGAATAAGAAAATTCCTGCTGTTCTCCCTGCAATTTGTTAGCCCCGTACTAGCTGTATAGCGTGAATATTCAATAATTTGCTCCATTGCTTAGTACGGGACTATTTTTTGTTTCTGTTCTCATTCATTTGCTTGGCACCGAAATCGCGGAGTTAGCCCTGTTTTTTTGCAGGGCCAGCTTATCCCGTACTATAGGTGGGGCTAGACCACTTTGGTAAATACTTGTATGAACAGAAAATGGAAAAAGCTTAACCCGGACTAAAGGTGGGGCTAAGACCCCCCTATAATCCCACCTATAGTCAGGGGTTAAACAAAATTTTGCCCGTGTGAAAACAGTATCAGAGTACATTTGAATTAGATCTTATTACGGTACAAATTATTATTTCCTTGTGTTTTGGGAAATGTTTGCATTTATAATGCCTTCAGTTTTCTGAAAGCGGTGCTGGGTCAATTGCTTTAGGCTACATTATGCATCACCTGCTTTAGGCTACATTATGCATCACCTGTGACAGTGGAAAAGAGATAGTTAGGGCCTGTCCCTTCTCAATTGGTTGAGTTGTCAAGAGAAGGCTTCTGCTAAATTACAATCCCCTGTCTGCTCTTGGTGATGAAGTCTCTTCTTGTTGTTGTTTCTTCTTTGTGTTTTATTACCCTGCCGAGTGTCATTCACTAATTTTTTTTGACTGGTGAATCTGGATCATACACGTCATATAATACTTCAAGGGAAGACATAATTAATTCTCAACTGAGTTTGTCTCTTCTGTGTGCTATTTTGTTGTTATTTCAAAGCTTTGCCACCAGGAAATGACACATCTTTAAAGTATTATAATCAGGGGCAGTGCTACATTAGAGCCAGAAATAAACCACCATCAGATACATATGATCTCACAGAAATAGAAAATTTGTGCTTTTAGCGTGACATGTAATTTAGCTAAGAAGAGGCTTTAAATAGACTGTTTAATTTGCTTTGTTCAGTTTGTAATTGAGCTACATACATTTAGTCATGAAAATCATTAATTAGATATTGTATATCAGTAAAATAACATCTTTTACTTTTTCTGCAATTAAAAAATGTATTTGCAAAACATGAATTATTATCTAACCTGGGCCCTGTCTTACATGTATAAAGAATTGTGATTGATCCAAATCAATCGCAATTTAGCAGTCTCCTATCTCTTATGTACTTGTACCTGGTTGCGATTGACATCAATGAGACGGGCCCTGGCATATACCTCATTAAAGATAAAGGTGAGTTCTGGTAATGTGATTGCATTGTGAAGAAAAGGTGTGGAATAGATCAGAAACAGTTAATCATGTAGCATGTAAGTATTGGTGTGCACTGCAAGGTTTTGGAGTCATCAAAATCATAATAAATTTGGCCGAGTCTTGGTAAAGTAACAAGCACTGTAGACAGAAAGCTATGGGACAACACACATGGTGTCGGGGCTAGTACTACCTTGATTTCCTTGTCTTTCTATGCTCATTACTCAGCCAGTATACATTTTCTTCCAAAATTGTTTGGCACTTGTCATTTATTTGTAATCTTGAACATTCAGTGTAAGTTTCGTTTGATTCTGTGAGAATTATTATTTTTTTTTTTTTTACCAAAACTGGAGTTTGTCTTTAAACTGTGTATAACATTATACTGAATCCAAGGGGGGGGGGGTAAATATACACAAATTTGTTGCATCAGTAACACAAGGAATACAATGTATTCGAGAATGTATAAGTCATATATATCTAGAAAGACTAGATTAACTGTCTGTGATGTAACTTCTCTCTCTCTTTCTCTCTCTCTCTCTCTCTCTCTCTCTCTCTCTCTCTCTACATGGTAATACACTTCCACAGTGCAGGATGTGTTTAGCCACATATCCACTATAATTTTTAGAGGAAAAAACAGGTCTTTTGTCTTGTTGAAATGCATGTGAACCAAACTGGTCCCACCCACTGTGAGGTGAGGAGAGTGAACCCTGGGAAAACTCTTCTTGTGCCAAGGGAAGCATAGCCAGACTCCCGCCCAGGCTGAATGGGCTTATCTATCTTTTGTAATAACGAGTGCACTCTTTTTATTATCCCATTTTGGAATAATCGCTCACATTATGTGGTTTGGTTGATTGGCCTAAAAACTTCTCATTCATAGCCCTAAAAATATCCCTGATGAGTAGGGAGAGCAACAATTCTGCATACTTAAAGTTGATACTCTAAGCAAATAAATGTCCCTTAATTTGTTACCTACGGCAAGTATATGTTATTTTTAAGTTTTTCAATTACTTAGTATATCACACAAAAATTCTGTCTACTCGAAATCCTCAATTGAAATGTCTAAAATATCCGCCTCTCTTTGCATAGAAAATCAGTCACGGCGCTGGTCTACTATTTATGACCTCACGTCCGGGAGAGAGTATATTCACGTACCCGGATGTTCCATAGCAAACATGTGCAGAGTGATACGATTTTCTGCATATTTTTGTTTCAAAGGCTGAAAAGTCTAATAAATCATAATTCTATGTACCATTCTTTACCTTCCCCTAGTACTTCATAGTATTAATATCAATTCCCCTTTTAAAAATTATGACATATATATGCCAACGATGTGCTATTAGTCGATATTTTCACCATGTAATTTTTGTTTTGGTGTTGAAATCGGCCCAGGCACGGAGTGAACAGTAGCTGTCTACCCATGCACAGTTCATTACCATACACTACAGCGATCTCCCGATGGTTTCTTCTTCCTTTTCCCCATGTCTTTCGCCTTCCTTGGCCCTGAACATCCTTCATCTACCAATTCTGACACTGGTAGTCAGGAGCAAGTCTTTGTTAGTTGTTTTTCTTAGCTGGCAACGTCGCTTTCATTCTCTTGCAATTGCCGATAAACATATAACTAGCTCACGTACGTTCCATCACAAGCAAGCAGCGCCTAGAGCAGCGGTTTGGTCTTACCTCCCGATTCTGCTCGCTTCACGAACGTTCATGCAAGAGCCGCATCACTCGCCAAAATATTATAGAGGAAGCGCGCTTGCATGATCTCGTTCAAGTTTGATATTTTACAACATAAAATGTTTAACTGGTACTGTATCCTTTTTTGAGGCATTCACACACATCTATGATAAGTACTATCATAGTTCTAGACCTATTCGTTTTACAAAACTGCTCATGTACATCTGATGACAATATAATGCATCCGCCTATTCATAAGTGCACGATTTAACTTTAATTCCTAAGCAGTAAACTCGTCTTAAATCTCTACCAAATAGGTGAATATGAGGATATAAAAAGAAATCAGCGACTGGAAAATGTTGCTTCGTTATTCTTCATTCAAATGAAAACAGAAAATCCATCAAATATACTCCTTAACAACAACAAATCTAAGCTCTGACAGGATAGCATTTACGTAGGGATATCACTGCCATTCACTCTCACTGAGCCCATGACTCCCGTTCGTGACGTCACGGATAGAGGCCCGACTCTACGTGCACTTCCGGGTTTCAGACTTAGATATTTTGGTAGAGTTTACTCGAATAAATTCATTATTCTAAACTTGTTTTGTCGGGTGGACACCATTTGGTGTTATTATGGGGGTTAAAAGCTTTCTATTTATGTAATTATCTCAGTATTTGGGATTGCCTTAGAGTATCAACTTTAAGAAAAGCATGTCATAACATCCTGAAATTGGCAACATTTTGAAAGGTTGAAGTTACTGTATTTGTACAAATTGGCAATTTTTGTAAATCCTTCAATATGGTTTTTGTGACATGGTTTTTAAATAGTAGTGATATTGATGCTGCATCCTGTTCCAGAAGGCAGTCATTTAGCGTGAAAGCCAGGCTGATGATGTAACAAAGTTCACAGTTTATCTCATATTACATCTATTACGTACCATGTACACGTAGTACATGTTTATAATTGATTTGTAATGTTTTGTTGGAAACATCAATTAATTGAAATTAAAACTGAAAAGTATAAACTGATCAAAATAAAGTAAAGAAGCTATTGCAGCTGAGGAAATTAATGCACAGATATGTAGATGTTGAGTTTAAAACTAAGCAAGTTGTTGATATCATAATCATATCATAACAAGAAAAACTAATAGATAATACCTGTGCATGTACCTGCCAAGTGTAGTTTGTACTTTCTGAAGGAAAAGTGTTTGAATTATATTGCTGTGGGGTATAAAAGTGAATTTCAACAATCATTATATTTTGAAATTGTATCATATTTTATCTCTTTCAGTCCCATCTGTTTTGAAGTAATCGAGGAGGCCCACATGACGCGGTGTGGACACAGTTTCTGGTAAGATAGAGGTTATGAAGTTCTTCATTATTAAAGTTTACAGTGTAATGCTGCAGAGAATCAAACATTTCAGAGTTGAATGTACAGTAAGTCATTGAATTGGTCATGAAATAATCAAAGAAATATTGGTAGGGGGCATGATCATGAAACAGTGGTTAGGATTTGTTCATTTTTGATCTTACAATCCCTTTCTATTCATCCACCTCCTCCTGACTCTCATTTATTATTGCAACCAAAACTTGAGGTTGGATTTTTTAAATATCTAATAGATATTTTGAATTATTGCAAGTGAGGGAATAGATGATCTATACCTGACTCCAAACTGCTCGTTTTCAATGGGGTCTAGAGTAATTATGTCAATCTCTGGTGTATGTAAAAAGTATGTAAGTATATGTAGTTCTCTTAGACATAGGGTGCAGACTCCATGAATACTTACAGGCCCTTACTTACATTTTGTGGTGTAGTTTTCTTTTCTTTCTTTTTTTTTTTTGGGGGGGGGGGGGGGGGGTATGGTACCAGAATTAGTGTCAAACGCTGATCTATACATACATGTAGTTTTCATTCAACCATAGCTTGTTTGGTGTAATTTCTTTTCATCTTTCCCCCTTTTTAGCCAGAGGTGTATACTGCGGAGCCTAGAGTCCAGTAACAGATGTCCGAAGTGCAATTTTGTTATAGAGAAGACTGACCAAATATTTCCAAACTTTGCCTGTAAGTTTCACATGAATTCTTCACCATTTGATACCTTTACTTGTAGCTGGTGGGAAATGCCTTGTTGAAAAGATGTTTGCATAGTATAGACATTAATTAGCGGTTTTCAGACAGTATATGCAAAAAAACTATTTTATTCTTCATGTATCAACAAACTACAAACAATTATATTTTACCTTAAGAATATTTTCATTCACACATTTACCTGTACCCTTAATATACCGGTAACCATTGCAAATATCTTTTTTATACAGCCCCTGTATGAGACAAATCTATTTTGTCATTAATGACTAAGAAAATGAAAGTTTAAGAAATGTCATGTACAGAGCAAATTGGAGAGAAGCTCACAAGGAAGGTATTGTGTTTGACTAATGACAAGTTGACAAATTCATAACTTTTTTATTTTTAATCGGATATTACTCAAACTTTCTTTAACTTGTTTTTCACACGTTTCTGCTTTTATTGAAACAAACTTAATTTTGGGGTTGACTTTCCCTCTGAGAAGGAAAAACATGTCTCGTGACTACTATTACCCTTTCTAATATTCAAGCCTAAACCTCTACAGAGCAATGATAATGCACTACTCTATTCAGATAACATGTTAAGAGCTTCATATGCTCATTAATACACATTTAAGTGGGACACATAATGCCTTAAAATTTTACCTCACAACTTGACATTCAATGCAATGCACGGAGAAAGGAATTGTTAAGTTCATAATAAATTCAAACTTCAGTTTGCTCAGTAAGACCCCTCATACCCCATTCTCACTCACTTCCTGGATCGGTCTAAAGCTGTCTAACGGTAAGTTTGAGAGAACAACCGTGCTGGGAAGTGTACATGTACCTCTAGACCGGTTCACTTCCTAGACCGCTCCAGACCGCTTTAATGTGCAGTGTGAAAGCAAACCGTGCCAGGAAGTGTACTTCAACTGAAAGTGAATGAAAGAGATATGAGCTTTAAGCTTGATGATAGTATGTATCACTATAGGAAAACAATATGATTAGAGTTTGGAGTAACTAGGTCAAAGGTCACAGAGGTCAACTTGAAATTCCAGGTATTGGCCTTGTTATCGCTATATCTCAAGAACTACTAGAGATATGAGGCTCAAACTTATTGATAATATGTATTACCTTAGGAAGACCGATCTGCTTAGATTTTGGGTAAGAAGGTCAAAGGTTACAGAGGTCAATTTCTGAAATATGAGCTTCTAACATGGTGACAGTATTACTATAGAAAAATTGTTATAGACTTTTTGTTTCATTGTGATATGGCCCGAAGAATTCTATCCATTTCCTAAACTGTATTTAGAGTTGAGGCCTATTGGAGATGCAGTAGCATTTGTATTGTTTTTTATGTAAATCTCTATCATTTTGTTATCTCTCTTTCTATTTGTCTAGTGAATGAACTGATTCTGAAGTACAGACAGCAAGTAGAAGAGAAGCGGTTAAAACTTGGACCTCAGGTATGATGCTCCCAGGGGTACATGTAGATACTAGATAGAGATCCTAGGAAACCTATCAAATTAAATTAATGGTACAAAATAGTTACTGGACATTGGAGCTTCAAATAATACTTCTGCAAAGAGATATATGTAATGAAGTTCAATTACACTCTTAGTAAAAGTGAGTTGTTGAGTAGACTAGTCGATGTACGCTTTTGCGTAAAACAAGGCGCACACAGAACCCAGGTTTGGACTGGGTTCTGAGCGCAGGTTTGAAAAAATAAATTATTATCCTTTATTTTCTCCATTAACCTATAAATACCAGATCTTTTAGGTTGATGTCAGGCATTCAAGCTATGCACAAGTTATTTTGTCATTGGTACACTTGAAATGTGGTTATAAAAGGTTGTACAGATAGAAGCAGAAAAATCAGACAAACCAATCAAAAAAGCTTGAGCAAAATTAAAATGCTCTGTTTCTCTTGCTTTTCTGCATTTATTTAAAAGCATATTATTTTTTGAGTGGACTTAGCTTTTAAGAGTTTATTTGGTTTCAGTTTCATTACACAAGGTTGTTTTTATAATAAGCTGATTGACATTGCTTGATTCCCCTGCAGCAGACAGGAGCCCCTGCACCCGACGTGCAAGAGTTTATTCAGGACCAAGAGAAATGGGATCTAGCAGAAGTCAACCTCATGCTAGAGATACTAGTCAGCAAGAAGAGAAAGCTGGAAATGGTATGGAAAAATAAATACTCACCTAAAACTGTTTAGCTGTAATCAGTAATCCAAACACATCAAATTTTCTTTTCCCGTCAACCTCTATTTCTGAATTGTATAACACTGTAGACTTTAAAAAAACAATTTGTAACATAATAGCTTGTTAGGTTGTTACAAAAATTTTTGCCAGAATGAGAAACTTACATTTAAATATTTACCAAAAATGATAAACAATTTCAATGTATTAGAAAAACAAATGTTTGTTCACAGAAAAGTGCTGTTACAATATAGGGACTCTGATTCTCATTACAAGAAGAGCTTGCTAGTTATTCATCTATACTACAGGTTTGCAATTACCAGCCAACACTTTAGGTGAATTATTCAAATAATGCTATCTACTTGTTTTATTTGTGTTTGTTTTGACCAATGTATTAATGATTAAAAGTTATACCTAAAAGTAGTGCTGTCGGCATAAAGCTTGTCGATAAAACTGTATTTTGATGGGAAGACTATATTTTGACAAAGATTCAATGTTTTTGACATGAATAACATAAAGTGACATGATATTCAAGTAGTAAACAACAAGCAGATTCGTTGGAAATGTGGGGTTCGGGGTTGAGTAAAATTCTTCAAAAAAGTCCGCCAGTGAAATTATGAAAAAGAAGAGAAAACCAAATTTAAAACAAATGTGATATTGATTGTAGCCACAATACATGCATGTGGGTACTGGTGGGTGTATGACTGTAGGTTGACATGAATGTTGAGATTTACAAACCATCTTTTTGTTGACAGTTGTTGCCGTTGACCTAATATGTCGGCAAAGTAATTTGTACTGGAAGACAGCACTACTTAGAACTCCAAGTGGTATTATTTTTTGCAATTTCCTTATGTTTTGTTTTTGCCTCTGTAATAGGACAACCAGGTGGCCCAGATTCAGATTTTGAAAGATTTTCTTGATGAAGCCAGGAGGAAAAAGCTAGAGGTAAGGAAAGTACTCTGTTGCCTAAAGTTTTGGCATTTTGGTTCAGACGCAGGGAGGTTTCAATTGCCCAATAGGGAGCAACCGCGGTTCGTTTCTTTGTTTCAATGTCCATTGCAAAATTATGGGCAGCTATAAACAGGTTGCTAATGGGCAGCTAACTAAAACTCACGGGCGGATTTCAGGAAGCCCGAACTGCGGGAAGCTCCCGCTGTTCGTTTTGGAGATCGCTTGGTGCGCAATGTCTGTGAAGAGTGTTCATCTGCTTATTCACTGAAAAATTCTTTTTAACAGTGTACTGCTAGTGCAGGTGATCAGCACGTGCATATTATTTTCATAATGATTTGCAACATTAGCTTTTCAACAAATAAATGAGAAGCATATTATGTGACTTTTCCCACAGGCACACTGACACATACGCACACTTACGAAATGTATTTCCTTCACATGCGGGATTTGAACCTGCCATCTACTACTTGCCGGGTAGCGACTCTACCACCAGGCCATCACTCGTCCATGGCAAGCAGTAGATGGCAGGTTCAAATCCTGTTGGTTCCAAGATTATTTCTGACTTTTTTTAAATTACAGATCAATCAATAGATATTATTTACTGGGTGTAAGCCACAAATATTTTTAAACAATTAAAATTTCTCCCAGGAAGCATTTCATTTATTTAAAAAATAATTATATGTGTTTTTGTGGTTATTCATTTTTTTTTTTTTTGGGGGGGGGGGATGAATGTTTAAGGCCCATTTGGATTGTTATGTTTGGGAAAGTTGTGATGCACCATATGCAGTATGCTAATGGTGAAATAGAGTCATAATAGTTCACCCTCCTTCTCTGTATTCATCAGAAAAAAATTGATTGACTTATCTAAAAACAAAAAGGTTGAATTCTGTGTAAGGAGCTGATTACCGGTATATTATTTTTTTGTGCAAGTGCAAGGCCCATTTGAAAAATTTGTTCAGGAAGTTATGATGCACTATGTGTAGTAGGCATAATAAAATTCAGTTATAATAGTTCTTCTTTCTCCCTGCTCATCAGAATATTTCTGAAATTGACTTGTCTATACAAATAGTCATTAATTTCAAGTAGACCCATTTTAATTATTTTATTTTGGAAAGTTATGATGCACCATGTGTAGTATGCTAATGCTGGAGTACAGTCCTAATAGCTGTCTCTCTTTCTCTGTTTGTCTCTCTTTCTCTGTTTGTTAGCAAATTAACGAGCTTTCAGCGCAAATGTCACTACTTGAAGATGATATCAAGAGGATAGAGGAGAGGATGAAGAAACAGAGGCATGCCTACAATGCCATGATGTCGGTGAGTTAATCAGCATTGTATCTTTCTTACCATGATGCAAAGGGTTAAGGGCTGTTCCCATGTAACCGATAAGGCGTGAGATATTTATTCAGCTAGCATCCAGAATGCTGTCAGAATGCCATCTACAAGCAGTCTGGAAAGCAATTGGGATTACCCCCATTCTCGTAGCGTTCTCAAAACAGCGCGTGGTCAGGGGCTTATTGTCTAGTAAGCAAAGGGGTATTCCGGAGTGTACGAAGACTGCAATATTGAAATCAACTTGGGGGCTTGGGACTGGCACCCCCAACCCCCCTGAAAAAAGCCCTCTGGTTTACATTTTTTACTTCTCAAAAAATGAAAGGCCAGGTTTTAATAAAACATGGTAGGAATCATCCTTAGGCAAGGGAGATCTGATAAATAATTTACTAAAAACTTGGTCATAGATATTTAGGAAACACCTATTTAAAAAGTTTTGGATGGAAGTCTAAGATCTAGGAGTCACAGGATGAGTTATTTGTACACTGTATGTTTTATTATGTGGACTTGAAGATGTTACAAGTAATATGTTCAGGAGCTCTTATTAGCTACCCTCTATTAAGGGCCAGAACACTGTAGACAGGAATCACTTCACGTTTGTACTTTCCTGTCCAGAAGGGCAAGAGCTACCTCTGTGAAAATGTGGCGGGTCCAGAGTGTGCTGGATATCTGGGAGAAGGAACAAAAAAACTTCTTAAGAATTGCCACAAAGAAATTCATTTTATAGTCAATTCAGAGCTTGTTACAACCACAACAAATGCACTGATCTGTCTATTAGTTCAACCTAGAGATTGTGTGAAAGCAACCCCAAGTAGATTGAATTATCCTTTCTATGGCTTCCTGAACTTCAAGGTCAACCTGACTCACACCCTTGCCAACAGTTAGTATCCAATGCCCCGGTTTCATTGTGGGTTGTGTTCATGCCAAGAGCATACAAACATTTGTGTCACTAGTGTATTGTTTTGTTTTTGCCAATCATAGCTAGTATATCCCACGTGTAGATAAGGTCTTATTACTTCATTGACCAGTGCGTTAGATGTCATTATCCTCAAATACTTTCTGCTTTGGACACGTTGATTGGTGTTAAAGACAGGTTTGAACAATTTTGGAAGCAGACAGTTGAAACAGGAGGTTTCTTACAGATTTGCAGATTTTCTTACAGGTATTGAATGCTGTTGTCTCGAAGGAAGTTGTCTTTTTGACTTCATTTGACTTTCATTTAGCATGGTGTGCTTATAGCTCTGTATTTTCCGTTGACAAAATACCTGCCCGCCCGCCCCCTTAAGAAAAAAATATAGATAATGACTAGATAAAGAAATAGAAAAAGAAATAACAAGCCTTAAAACTAAAGACCAAGGTTAAAAAAATCCATTGCTCTAGATTCATGTTCATCATCATGTCAAACTGACAGATAATTCCTGTATGAGATATGCCCCCCCCCCCAAAAAAAACATGACCAAGTGTTCTAGTAACCCAATTGCTGGGCAATGACTAACTGTGTCAGACCAGCCACTGCGCTCTGCTGAGGCCAAATGTGACTTGGCAAGTCTGTAAAGAGGTAGAAGGGTATTCCCCCCTTCTGGGCCATGTGAGTTACACACTTCCCCTATGGACCACTCACTGCTGAGGTGCACCAGCTGGTCGGCCTTCACCCTTTGCCAATCCCATTGCAACTCACAAGGACTTCAAGTTCTTGTCCCTTCGTGGATAGTCTTTGAAGGCAGACCTTGAACCTTTGATAGTTTAGAGGTAACATGTGAGATGATATTAACAAACTTGAGTCAACAAATGTGTACACAAAATTGAACGTGGCAAAGTAATTTGATTCACTTGACTTTTCACTCATAAGTTGTGGATTATAAACCTTGCATGGGACATTTGTTCTTAGTCAAGGCAGTTTATCTAGTTGCCACTCTTGACCCAGGTGAAGTAAATAGGTACCTGGTAGGACTTGGAATGCCTTTTATCTGTGCTGAGGATGGCTAGTGAAGGTACAGTTCAGTAATAGATTCCCAAGCATTAGAGAAACACATTAGACAGTTGGAATATGGACATTCAAAAAAGCAGCGTATTGTTTCTTTTGAAGTTTTCTCTATCGGCGTTGCCTGAATGATCAGACTACACTTTCAAACTTTATGCATTCGTGTACATGTATCATTGCCACCAGAGGAAATGTCATCTCTCTGTGTGTCCTGCTTTGTCTTCCATTAATGGTGAATCAGTTCCCGTCGTCAAATGTCATTTCTGGTGTGTGCTAGGTATTCCTGGCAGAATCAGGCAATGTTTGCCTGTTCTGTTGTGACTCGCTCCCCTGTATGATTGGCCCATCCTCTCATCATGTTTAGCCAGCTCCACCCTTGATATCCAATAGTGCCCCAACAAGTTTCTCAATGGCCAGTCATAATTCCGCTTGCTTCCTAACAGATCAGTGATTGTAACTTTGTGATTACTTGGAGGACTTGGGATAGATTTAGTTTTAAAATAGCAAATACATGTATTGTCTTAGACTAGAACCAATTCCTTGAGTTGGTGCCCTTTGTCAAATCCTAATTGGAAAGTGGACTTATATTCCTAGTTCTCCAGTATCTTGGAAGGGCCTTTAAGGCCTAGTCCTCCTAGATGCTAATCTGAAAGCCCCTCTGCACTGGTTCGGCCAGGAGTGATTAGACCTCCCTGCAAGGTCAATGACAAGTGGTTATCTCATCAAATCAGCTCTCAATTAACATAAGAAAAAGGGGACCATGGTGGATCAACAGGCACCGCTTAGGCATTGTTTACTATATAGAGGGCTCAAGAAGCTACAAGTATTGCAGTCCCACTTTAAAGCATATTGTGTGTCAGGTAAATTGAACATAAACGACAAACATACAATTTATAAAGGAGGTAGAAATGAGAGATTTCCTATGTGATTACTATTAATGAGATAACTAAACAATAATTATTCTATTACATATCTAGAATTAGCTCCTGTATATTCAATTTGTATTGAGTTCCAAATGTTATCGTATTATCATTAGCCAGATGTAAGGAAATATTATCTTTCTCAGGATTTCATTTGTAATGAGCATAGTAGTGTAGTTTTATATTTATAATTTCTTCTATATCTGAAATCATTAGTAACACATAAAGAGCTTAATTCCAAAAGGACGTCAATCCACTTTTTATGAAATTGAGTTATTGATATCAGAACATTGTTGACTGAAGTACCCGTCTTTCAACAAAATTATTGACCTACATTTTAGGAGCAATTATGAAAAATGCACCTTCTAATATCACTTTTCCATAGAAGCCTGTACAAAATTTGGTAAACAATTTCTTTTATTTCTGAAGTTACAAAAATGGATTTAGCTCCTTTTGGAATTAAACTCTTCATATTCACTCCATAGTTTTATTTTGTCCATTTACAGGCCTTTCCAGTGAAAGCTGTAAACAGCAATGACATATTCCTACCATCAACAAGGTGAGAGTCTAACAGTTTCATGATTTTCTGATCCATCACGTGTATACATGTACATTTTGTTACGATCCAAAAATTAAAGATAAGAATTGCACAAAAAAATAAATTATGTTTTCTTTATTTATAATATAACAGCAGTTATACAAAAGAAACTGAATTATTCATCAACAGTACAGATAAAACTATGTAAGGATACTGCAAAATATGTGTTCAATCCAAAATAATAATATTCCAAGTCCAAACTGTTTCAAAGTAGCTTTTCTTGAAAGGTAAATGTATATTAAAGATCGGGTATCATCCAAAGTATTACTTCCACGTCTCAAACGAGTTTGCTGGCTTTATAGTTGCCCTGAAGATTCCAGAAGAGTTTGCTAGGCAAGAGCCACAGTCGCAGAAGGTAGACTCAATGTAGATTCAATTTAGTAATATCCCAGGTGATCATGATAGAAGTTGCTGTTTATAAAGATGTCTAAATGACGATGTTCAACTAGTGATGTTCAAACGGCAATAACCCAAAGCTGATGTATTCAAATGCTGATATCATGTAGGTTAAACTAGAAGAGGAGCATTCTAACTGTACATGTAGCAGTCCACTTTAACTTTCAATGATGATGGACGAGCTATTTCAGATTTTTGAAATGTTGAATTTAATCCAGTCTAAAAGACTTCTTTTCATCTCTTCACTTCTCTTCTCCTCTCTTCTCTTCTCTTCTCTTCTTTTTCTCTTCTCTTCTCTTCTCTCCTTTTCTCTCCCTGTCTCTTTCTCGAAATCTCATTTTTGTGAAAATGTTACTCTCTATCACTCTTCGTTCTCCCTCACCCCCCCCCCCTTTTTTCATCTCTCTCTCTCTCTCTCTCTCTCTCTCTCTCTCTCTTGCCCTCTCTCTCTCTCTCTCTCTCTCTCTCCTTCTTGTTCTCTCTCTCTCTGAATCTGTATTTTTTCTTCTATTTTACCTTAGAGATCATGTAATGAAAGTTTGCATTGTTTGTGTTATTTCCAGTCATTCAGAAACATCAACAAAAGTAGAAGGTGTGAAACCAGATGGACCTCAGGAAGGCTTCAATGGAAGCAAAAATGTAAGTTTCTGCCCACAAGTAACTTATCACATTGAAACATGGGGTCATGTTGATGCTATTCTTGATTTCTGGTTATCACATGCTCCTGTAACAAACTCCAAATTCTCAGCTTCCACCCTGGATCCTCACACTATTCCCAACATAACCCTAACCCTTAATTCAACTACAATCTCAAATACAACCCTAACCCTTTTATAAATGTAACGCTTCCTGGGAGAAATTTCAATTATTTAAACAAATTTGTGGCTTACACCGAGTAAATAAGATCGATTGATCGATCTGTATTGAAAAACAATTAAGAAGTGACTGTGCCATGGACCAGTGATGGCCTGGTGGTAGAGTCACTGCCCGGCAAGCAGTAGATGCAGGGTCAAGTCCCGCTGGTTCCAAGATTTTTTCTGACTTGTTTTTTCAATACAGATCGATCAATCAATCTTATTTACTCGGTGTAAGCCACAAATTTGTTTAAACCCTAACCCTATATCGTTGATGAAATAAATTTCTCACTTCAGTCCTGTGCCCAGCACTGTACTTTAAATTAACCCTGACAATCCTTAACCATTACCTGTCTTTCTTACAAAATAAGCTCAGGCCTATTGTTATGCCACTGCTCACTGGACGATCCTCCTGTGATCCAATTTTTGAAGAAATAGAAATTATATTAGATCTAAAAATCTTAGCAAACATTGATTAGAATACTAACAACCAAAATTTTAGTGCATGTAAGCCTTCTAGTCAGAATAAATGCTGAATCAGCTTCCAATCGTTCTTCAAATCTGACATCACTACTATTCAGAGCCAGTTTAGCTTCATTTAGTTTAGTTTCATCCTCCGAGGAACCTTGAAATCTATTGAAATTTAAATTTCAGTATTCATATGACTATCCAGATCCGTGATCATTAACTTTTTATTCATCTTTTTATTCATTATTCAAATGTTATTCCAAATTATTCCAAAACTATTCCAAAATTCGATTGTAGTCTGATCGTATAGTTTGCGGTGGGCTTTACTTTGCAAGCATCAAATGCATCATCATTTCATGCTGTTCTAAATGCTATGTTAACAATAATCTTTCTCCATTACTCTCAATATTTACCCTTTATTCTATCTTTCTAGGGCGGAAGGCAGCAGTGGTTAGACTCAACGTTAGCCTCCAGAAGAAAAAAGCTCTACAATCACTTTGATGATTTGCAGTCTTGTTACTTTTCTATCAGGCAGTCAGAGCTAACACCTTGTAAGTCTAATCAACTCGCAGAGCCCTGAGCCATTTGAAGAAAGCTATGAAATTGTTTGTATATGCTATGTTATATAGTGATGACAGTCGATGTCAGAAGTCAAAGGTTACATGATTGTAAAGTATTTAAAAATTCCCCAAATATTTTGTTGCCATGAAATCTTGAAAAACATTAAAAGGATTTCTTTTTAAATTTTAAATTAGCTCGAGTGTGTGTAAGCGTGTAAAGATAAACTGATCAGATTTTGACTGCAAGAGGTCACAAATCAAGAAATATAAAGAAATTAAAAACTTCAGAAAACATCTTATTCCTGCGATAACATCAGAAATAATATTAACCAACCTCGGTTCAAGTATGAGGATGATAAAAATAACTATAATTGAGTTGGTGTGTATGAGATCAAATGATAAAGGTCACAAGACCATTGATTAATTGAACATAGACACAGCCACATTCATGTAGTTATATTACTTATATTTTTGTTTTTTGTGTTATTTTTCATTTTTTAATATTGTATACTCCAACGTTCAATACAACAAAGTATATGAACCAACAAACTAAAGAATTTCCTGAGTCATGTTATATTTGAACCTCTGCCTACAGTCTCAGAAAAATATAATGGCACAATGGAACTTCTAAATTTGGAGGTGAAAATATGTTATATTGAACAATGAACTGCATGCACTATTTGTTAGATAAACTTAAGGATATTTAAGATCTCATGCGTGGCTCCTTTAGAATCAGGCCCTCTCAGTTACATTCAGATTGCCTTTGCATCAAATGCAGGCAGCTAAGACAATGCAAAAGATATTGCACACTCCTGCAGATATAAAAGATTTGTTAATGTCACATGACAGCCAATCGAATACTCACCAACAAATACCCTATTTCATACATGTACTTATTTTTCAGGTGAATTAAGATCATCAGAGATGTTAGATTCGTTTTCCGAGAACCTTTCCAAGTTTACCAAGTTCAGTTCAATGAGGCCGCTAGCCACTCTTAGCTATGCGGACCCGTACAATGGCCAGTCAAGTATAGTCTCAAGGTAGGTGCTCAAATTTGTGTTGGTTTACCTTGTTACGAGTAAAAAAGGGCTTCACTACAAAAAATCCAGTTTCGGTTCATGATATTATAATGAAAAGAAATTTGAGTCAACTTTTCATGGTCGATTTTCATTTATTGGAGTATTTGGAAAGCTAGATGTACTCTTTATTTTATGCTTCCCCGTCAAGTGCTGTTTGAGAAGCCTTATATTTTCATGTACACAATAACGTTGACATTTGAATGGGACAAAAATGCATACCATTAGATATGAATATGCAGGCCTGATAAAACCCTGATTTAAATCGATTTCCTAATTTTTTTTTTCTTCCCGATTAAATTTTTTTCTTCTCTATTCTCTCCTATTTTTTCCCTATTTTTCCCCAATTTTCTTACTCGAAAGGGGGGAATGTTGTTAGATGCCATTTTTCCCCCGCGAATCCCCTTCTTTCTTTTTTTTCCTCAAGGGGGGCGTGGTTGAGGGGGAAACAAAAAACATAATTTTTTTTAGTGCTCACTATCACCCCTGGAATATGGAATACCGTTTTCTCCAAGGGTTTACAGAGATGCCAACTGTTCGTTTTTGCCGTATTTGTTCTGTTTTTTCGCTATGAATATGGCAGTACGTTTTTTGTATGTTTTGTTACGTTTTTTTAATTTTTAAATTTTTTTTTTCTTAATTTCTGATCATGGCCTTTGTGTCGTAAGTGTATTATGCACCTACATCTTAAAACGATGCACGCAGGATGGTGATACGGGCCCCAAACTGCGCACATTGCAAACAACCCATGTGTAATGTATGCACGTCGCGCTCCGATCCGGGTACGTATACGTAGTACTGCCTGGTTTTTTAAGCTGCTCGATTGGGCGATATGTTAAGTTGAGAGATTTTTTCAAAAATACTGGTTTTTGCTCTTAAGAATACTTTTTTTTGTTGAAGAAGGTTGCCATCTCTGGTTTTAGGTAATAACTGAGGATGAAGAACTCCGGTTTATCCATCCAGCTGTCTCAGCTTCCATTTACATCCTTCTTCTTTTTGTTCTTCTTTGATCTGAATTACAGTATAGAGTTTGACAAGGATAATGACTTCTTTGCAATAGCTGGTGTGACTAAGAAGATCAAGGTGTTTGAATACGGGACAGTCATCATGGATGCTGTAGATATACATTACCCAGTCCATGAGATGGCCTGTAATTCAAAGATTAGGTAAGTCCGTCTGTCCATTTGATATGATCTACAGCAGCACAACACTAATTTGGATAACATTGGTGTTAAAGGTATAGACCAGGTCATGTGATTGCATTGTGAATATAAGTATTGCTGTGTACTGCAAGGTTCTGGAATCATCAAAATGAGAAGAAATTTGGCCCAGTCTTGGTAAAGTTACAAGCTTGTGAAACACTCCCCAGCCCATCTCACTCAACTATACGTATGGGCATTTCAAATGGTTGAATCAGCAGTGTCACTATGACAAAGTGCGAGACAACTTTCCAACAAAATGACTGAAATATCATCATTATTCTATATTGTATTTATATACATGTATGTGATACCTACAATTATCCATGGTCACTTCAGATTTTCCTTGTGTCTTTCCACCTACAGCTGTGTAGCGTGGAGTGCGTATCACAAAGGGGTGCTAGCAAGCAGTGACTATGAAGGAACAGTAACACTATGGGATGCCTTTGCAGGAGTCAAAACACAGTCATTTCAGGTAAGATCCTCATGACTCATGTCATAGTGAACATCCAGGGACAATTGCTCCTCACTCAATTTCTATCACCAGTCCAATTTCTAACTATTCCAAACCCTTGTCCCATATTCTATACCTCACATAAATCACAACCTTGACATAAACCTATATCTTTGACGAAAACAAAAAGAAATGTCTAGAGTGATTATGCAACTTAACAGGGAGGACAAATTGAAAGTTCTATTCGTTTTAGTCTTCAGAGGTGTTATGGTCTAGTGGATAAAATCACCGGACTGTGGATCACATGGTTCGCGATTCAAGTCCTACCGTGATAGAGCTGCCAAGTTTCCCGCTTTTTGTCTCGCCTGCGTAGCAAAAAGCGAGACATAGGCGCCGCTTTTCCGGTGACGGCGGCGGCGACGGCGACGGCGTCAACATCAAAAACTTAACCTAAGGTTAAGTTTTTGAATTTTTGGTATAATTTTTAAAGTATAAGTTCTTAGTCAATTAAACTTTGACTATAGGGTAATCAAGTATCCCCAATCATGTGAGTAGAATTTCAGATCACAAAGTCAAGGTCAAAGGTCATTTCAGGTCAACAGACTTGGACTATGTTGTAGCATCATCATCGAAAACTTAACCTAAGGTTAAGTTTTTGAATTTTTGATATAATTTTGAAAGTATAAGTTCTTAGTCAATGAAACTTGGACTATAGGGTTATCAAGTCTCCCCAATCATGTGAGTAGAATTTCAGGTCACTAAGTTAAGGTCAAAGGCCATTTAAGGTCAACAAACTTAGACTTTGTTGTGGCATCAACATTAAGATTTTCAAAATGCTTCTTCTTCGTTATATTTCAACTGATTTTGATTCTGATTGTTTCATATGATAGGGCTAGGAGGGAATTTAAAATTTCTACACAGAATCGTGAAATTCATTATCTATGCTAATTTATGCAAATTTATTCGAAATCACAAAAAAGGCTTCTTCTCCTTTATTTCTCGACCGATTTTGATTTGGTTTGCTTTATATTGTAGAGCTAACTTTGGTACACTAAACATCTACACAGAATTTTGAAATTGTTCTCCATTAATTAATTATGGTAATTTATGCAAATTTATTCCAAAAATAACAAAAATTGCTTCTTTTCCCTCATTTCTTGACCGATTTTGCCTTATCTGGTAGAGCTAAATTTGGAACAATAAACTTCTACACAGAATTGTGAGATTTTGCTCCATTGATTATTTATGGTACTTTATGCAAATGAAATGAAATTATGTCCCTTCCAGGGCATCAAATTTCTATTTTTTGACCAGTTCAAAAGTGTACCACATAAAATTTACGATATTTGTTGTTGTGAGATGCGGATGAGCGCTACGTCATTGACGTTCTGGTTTATCATATTGAATTGCGTTATGCAGGCGAGACCGCCGAGAGCGTTTCCCTTGTTCTGGAGGGAAAAATTCCCCATAATGCGGGATGTCCCACATTCTGCAATATCCGTTTTTCTTTTGCTATAGTCATTTATGAAATAATGCCCAGTTTTTGTAAACTTAAACATCAGAAATCCTTATTTTTAGGCCTCTTGATACCCTTTCCTACATGCCTGAAAATGCCAAAACCCATGAGCTTCCGGGCGCTCTGCCTCCTGGTCTCTATACGCCCCGCTCGCATTGCTTGCTTCGCTCTAATGAACTCTTGATTACAGTTGGCCCCCTTTGCAGTTTGCAAAACTTGGCTGGTCTGCCGTGGCACCAATGTCCTTTGGCAAGATATTAATCTACATTTGCCACTATCCACCCAGGTGTGGCAAATATGTACCTGATAAGATCCATTCCTTAAATGCTTATAGCACCTCAGAGCTGCTGAGCTAAAGCCAGGTTAATAATAAGTGATTTTAAGATGACTTGAGCATCCCCTGGGATGGATATATTGTGTGTGCAATATAAATGTAGCTATTATTTTTACTATTTTTTTTATTCAAGTCGATTGAAATCTATGAACACAAGTTGTAACAAATTTATAATATTCATGATCATATCTTATACCATGAAGAGGATTAAAAAAAGGTCATCTCTCTATTTCAACTTTTTGAGAAAAAAACAATTACACAATTTTGGTTACTCAAATTAGACAACTTATCGTCGCCTGGCTGGCAGAAGGGCGTTAGCTCAAATGTCAGGTCAAAAATGAAACTTTAAGCAGAAGGGCGTTAGCACTAAATCTCTTCAAACTTTGATAAAAACTGACTTATTTCCAAGAAAAAAATTGTGGCTGTGTTCTACTATAACATTTCTATCAGTCTTTTATGTTTTAAACCAATTTTCGGGACGGAAAGCAGTTTTAGATATAAAACAAATCTCTAAATGCGAATAATTTGAAAAGTAGTTTTCGAGTCGCTCGCTCGCTCGCTAACGCCGTTCTGCCAGCCGTATGATATAGAGAGTAGATACACCTTCTATGTTCTTGTTTAATTGTTTGTCTTGGTTGCCCAGTGATACTCAACAATTCAATCACGACATATTGTGTTTGTTATTTGTGTCTTCCCCTAACAGGAGCATGAGAAGCGGTGCTGGAGTATAGACTTTAATCGGATGGATCCTAAATTACTTGCCTCAGGGTCTGATGATGCTAAAGGTTAGAAGGAAATCACAGTGTTAAGGATCTTTCAGATATGATGCGGTAAACCATTGCAGGAAAGCTGCCACATATTTATTTAGCATGTAAAAAAATGGCAACTGCACGTAACGAAGGACTCTTGCATATTCACTGAGTTCTGTGTTTAAAAATCAGAATTTTGAAGCATATTACACTTTACGTGATTAAAAACAATCACGGTTTTGCTGTGTCATATCTGAAGTAGGCTTTATGGGTAGAAAGAATGATGGTTCGGTGGTAATAATAATAATAATAATAATAATAATAGCCTAATAGTCCACTCCAAATTTTATTAAACCGAAACGGAAATTCTTTTTGCCCAATTGATCGTGAGCCCGGCAGCCACTGAGCAGCGCCAGATCGACGTTGCTCCATCCCTTATTGTTGAACGCCAAACAAGGTAGCAACAACTCCCATCTTTTAACGTCTTTTGGTATGACGCGGCCGGGGTTCGAACCCACGACCTCCCGGTTGTGTGGTGGACGCTCTACTGACTGAGCCAACACATACAATTGATGAGAGGATTGAGGGATCAATTTTGTCATTTAAATGGTTTCTACATGTAAATTACCTTTCTCAGGGAAAAACAATACAAAAGTTAATTAAACTACTGAAATCTATAATAAATTGGACACAAAAATCTGCATTTGAAAGATTAAGAAATTGGCGATAAGACTAGGTAAAACAATGTAAATAGTTACAAAATTTGGTTTTGATAGTAAAAGGCAGAAGGCACTTAAGTCATCACAATTATTCTTCCCTGTTCTGTAAGTAAACTGCAAAAATCTTAGAATTTAGGAGAAGTAAAAAAGAATAGTAGTAGAAAAAGTTCAGAGAAAATGGTAAATGTGTACTGTGTCAAAAACTTTATTTATATATGTTATGTACCTACAAGTTTTGAATGAGGTTACCAGGTAAGTCCTTGGGAGTGTTTCACAAAGACTTAGATAGACTTTAAGTTGGACTTAGCTATGGCAGGCCGTTCATACCACTGTTTGCTCTCACCATTTACTGGCATTGGGTTCTCAAAGGATGTACAAATCGTGGTCACATATCCACATAATTTACATTTTTTGATTTTTGTTGTTCTGAAGATCATAATTGAGAGACCAATGGTGAGAGCAACCAATGGCATGAATGGCCTGCCATATTTAAGTCCCACTTAAAGTCAATCTTAGTCTTTGGGAAACACCCCCCTGGTAAATTTACATTCACTAATTTATTCATGGAATATCTATGTCTGTATAGAAGGAGACATGGATAAGTTCAATTGAAATGTGACTAATATCATGATTATATCTGCTGTTAACCAATTGTTTGTTCTTACTTGACAGTCAAACTATGGTCCACAAATCAAGAGCAATCGATCACTAGTCTAGAAGCCAAGGCTAATGTGTGCTGTGTCAAGTTCAACCCCACCAAGATGTATGGTCTAGCATTTGGGTCAGCAGGTCAGTCCGACATTCAATTGTTTTTAAAGTCATCGTTTAACAATGTTAAACCTGAGATGCATGGCCCTACATGTTATCAGTGTATGTGATATGGTGTAATATTGAAGCCCTAATAAAATTGCTCTTCAAGATGATCATGAAGTACATGTACCTCAAAAAAGTAAAAATCTTTGAGTGACCGGTTTTACCATACTTTTTTTCCCCAATAGACTGTAGTGTAATAAAAACTGTTAGGAAAAAGAAAAATTAAATTTTGATTTCCAATCATAAGTATCTTGATAATCAGACTGGCGATCAGCACGTTAAAGTCATGGGATTCCTGACTGACCTAACGGTTTGTAATTATGATTGCAGCATGAGCTTGAGTCACTTTAAAGGCTAATGGTCGCATTATGTCTAAAATAAAAATTAGAATAATAATACTTCTACTAATAATGATAATAATAAAAGAATATTTATTAAAAATATATATTTAAACAAAATAAAGTAAATGCTATTGACATAAACTCAGCTCAAAGTTTACTTGATAGGTATGCTTCATCTTTTGAAGTTTTTCAGTTTATAGAATAGCTGGCAAATTCTTACTTGGTGACTTTTTCATTTATTTCTTTCAGTAGGTACATGTACTTGTTAATTGTACTGGGGAATAACGTTTGCTTGTTAAACCTTGTAGTTTTCTCTCTCTAAAAAATAAAAATTGCTTTGATTATCACCTGTGACCTCTATACAGATCATTGTGTACACTACTATGACCTAAGACATCCCAAGCAACCTCTAAACGTCTTCAAGGGTCATCGGAAAGCTGTCTCGTACACAAAATTTGTCAACTCAGAAGAAATTGTATCAGCGTGAGTATTGTTTTGTTTCTTTTCTTTTTTAATTTCTATTTTCAATTCTGAATTTATTTTAAATTTATCTTTTGTTTTTAATTTTTAGTCTAAAAAGAATATTTTTGTCTATTTTTTTTTCTTCCGTAAGATAATTGCCCAAAATCCTTTTGTTGTGCATGTGAAAAGGGACCAGGGAAATGCTGACTAACAAATGCTATGGTTATTATAGTTGTAGACAGATGCTTATGTAGTAGAGGTGGTGTTGTGGTCTAGTGGATAAGTCACCTGACTGCAGATCACAAGGTACGGGGTTCAAAACCTACCCGGCACTAACGTCCTTTGGCAGACTTATCCTCTTTGTTTTCTGAGCTGTGCTCACTTGGCAAGTGTTGTGCCCCATTTCCAATTTTTTAAGAACGCTAATTTTTAAGGAGCTTGTCATTAATTGACAGAGGCTTATTGCTGTAATTTGTTAATCTCCTACGGTTGTTTCATTATTTCTTTTTCACACGTTTACGTTTCGCCTACCTCCGCAGGACGATTTGTATTCTTATAATTGAGTTACATGGTTTCTGTGTGCCTCTGTGATGTAAAGTCATTCTACAATTGTATATATACATACTGCTACATAAGAGGTAATTTCACTGCTCACGTTACAGTGAATGTGTAGTGCTTACCTCAAGGCTTACATGACAACACCATAACTACTTACATTCCTTTTCAACACCCAGGTCCACAGACAGTCAACTCAAACTATGGAATGTTGACAAGCCGCACTGTTTACGAACGTTTCGAGGTCACATCAACGAGAAGAACTTTGTGGGCTTAACATCCAATGATGACTACATCGCATGTGGCAGCGAGAATAACTCACTATTTGTCTTTTATAAAGGCCTCTCTAAGCAGATACTCACCTTCAAGTTTGACACAGTTAGAAGTCTAATGGTAAGGTCAAATTCTCTTTCATTTCTGCTATCATTTCATATTATCTTAACTTGCTTCGCCCTCCCCCCTCAAAACTGGTATTCTTATTACTATCTCAGTGTGTGTGTTGGGTTTTTACAGACGTGTATCAATCAAATATGATTATTTACCTCTGGGGACCGACCTATAACGTCAAATCCGAAAGACGTGACTCAGTTTCGAACCTGCGTCCTCGTCTAAATCAGTTTGTAACTTCCATTGTTAGCTGGATTACAGGCGCATGCCACAACGCCCCTCAATTGGCAAAAACTTCTCATACACTTCAATGATTTAATGATGGTGATGATTATCTATTTTACCGACTGCTGAGAAAGCAATTATGCATTTGTTGATAAGCAATAGATGTACTTATGGCTTGAACTTTTATGCAACAACTTGAAAGAAAGTGTAAGCTGAATATGAGTGTGCTATATTATAGAGATATCGACTGCCATGAGAAGCCTGGCTGCTTTATAGGCTCAAGGGGACGTGCACATCCTGCCATGACCCCTCGGCGCGCCAGGATGTGCACGTCCCCGAGAACGAACAGCCAGGCCTCAAATATTAAAGCAGTCGATATGTCTTTTATATACCGAATTGACACAAAAAGAATTCTTACCTTATCCTTTTCTTGAATAAAGGTTGGTTAAAACATCACAAAAAATCTGAGCCACTGTCTGATGACTAAATATTACAATCATTTGAAATCGCAGACTAAAAGCACTGTATGGTATCCGCGCTCGCACAAAGAAAATTTTAACTTGTAGACCAATGGGGATCGCAGCAAAATTTAACTATTTTCCCGGTACCCGGAATCTTGCGGGAATCTCACTCATGAACTATTGACCATTACTGGCATTGTTCTTTTCTTTATGGGAATGGCTAAAATCATGACTCCAATTTCGACCAATCAGATGACTAGATTTCTAAAGAGAGGTATATAATCCTCTTTATCACATCAATATCCTTTATGAATTTCTTGTGAGGATAATCTAAGATGTGTAATTGGCTTGAATTGAAAGTATATCATTTGTTTTCTCTTGTCTTCTTGTGTTTGATTGCAGGACAAGGATAAGAAAGAAGATGATTCCAATGAATTTGTCAGTGCTGTAGCATGGAGGACAGTAAGTAGTGCTAGCAGAAATCCAAACTGCATATGTTTCCCAAGGTGTAAAAGCTTTTTACAGTGAAGTCTTCTTTAGAGACCACTTGGACCGAAAGACCTCTTGTCTATAAAGATTTTGTTGTAGTTGAGTTCCCATGAAACAGTGTAACTCATTCAAACAGTTTAAAATGACTCAGTAACATTGCCTCAGACTCTGAAACAAAATCCTTGATTTAGCTCATGCTGAAATCATAATTATAAACCTTTAGGTCAGTCAGAATTCTTGTGACTTTTACAAGCCGATCGCCTGTCTGATTATCAAGATATTTATGATTGGAAATCAAAATTTCATTTTTCCTTTCCTAATAGTTTTTATAATACTACAGACATTGGGGGAAATGAGTATGCGGTATAGCCACAATCAGGGTGCAACTATTCTACGTACAGTGTTACGCATCTCTCCTGGAAACACAAAGTCATTTAATCAAATATCTTGTGGCCTGAAATGTTGGACCATATGAGTTCTTCATCAGGCAGCAACTTTTTTTGGAATTTCTTTTGTGTTGGCTGTGTGAGAGTGGTAATAGAGGGCCAAAAATACCACTTTTTGGCTGTTACGCATTTGCACTTCAAAAATGTGACTTTTTTCATAAGGTGTTACTGTGGAATTACACAAGATATGCCATATCTTTTCATGCCATCTTATAGTCCTTTTTATCTCCACTCAGTATTTTTTTACGGCTTGAGAATTGACCCAAGAATTGCGATACAGTGGTTACTTCTGTGAAGAGAGACAAGCGTAATGCTTTTTTGAAAAACAGCTTTGTGTATAATTTTGCCTCTATAATTCATATATTTTAGCATTATATCGATTGGTAATTGGTTATATTTTCTGAGTAACATGTTGTCCTATCGTCAGAAACTAAAAATCAAACAAAGATACAAGCGTTACAAAAATATATGCCCACATTCCGATCATAAATTTTGTCCGGAATTTCCTGTAGTGTCCGTAACGGTGTAATTCCTGCTATGTGAAAATATTTCCAAATTTTGTATATACTTAGCATTGTGTAACTACCTCCGGGGACTAGCTGTAGTATAATAATATTCAGCTAAGCATAACAGTTTTTTTGTTGCAATTTAATGAATGGCATTTGTAGTGTCCGTAACATATGTAGTGTCCGTAACACAAATTACACAAGTCTGTGATGGTGTAAAATCACAGCTTGATAACTAAATACTGCTAATTTGCAATTCAAATTTGATTTGATACAGTTACTCTTCTCAATGAATAACAAAAATCTCTTTTCCTTGAATGTTTTCTCCTGGATATGATATTTCGCAAACAAATAAGCTATTTTCCCTGAATTTAATTTTTAAAAAATAAAAAAAATTAACTTACGAGTAATTTAATATCAATATTTTATTTAAATAATATTAGTTAGATGTAATAAAGTATCAAATTAAATGCATCATTGTGTATTAGTTTCAATATCGAGGGTAGAAAAGAGTAGGAGCCAGTGTTACGGACACTACAGATCTGTGTTACGGACACTACAGAAGGAGTAATATCAAGGCCTGCAAGCCAAACTGTACCTCTTTTTCTGGAAACCAGTGTTCTAAAATAAATGTTAACATTGTAAAAGCTGTCTATGACATCAAATATGTATGATGCATGAGAAAATACAACATTTTAATCATTCAATTGCCTACCTACAAAATGTATAAGTCACTACATTGTATTTTATGTCCACACACACATAAAGACCTGGGTCGGTATTCAATTCAATACGCATAAGTACAAAAAAATTACCAAGTAAATGGCTAAGTTAAGTAATTTACTTATCTCGTATTCAAATCGCATTTTAGACTTATACTTACGTAAGACAAAATCTAAGTAAAATACTTACTGATAAGCATTGTGACGTCACACGGTCAATCAAAGTATTTGCGCAATATTTTATTGATGCATTGCAGTAAATGCGCGCTGATATAATTGTGCGCAGGTTGTAATACTGCGTAAGAAAACCATATGCCTGCCAATCAAGGCCTCCAAATAATTGGCTTAATTCTGGTAGGAGTTGACTTAAATATAGGGTAAAATACTTACCGGTAGCCAAAAATTTGAATCGAGTACCAGAATTGGCTAAGTATTTTATCTAAGCCAAATACTAAGTAAAAAGCTTAAATTTTGTACTTAAGTATTGAATTGAATATGAGCCTAGGGCGCACACCAGTACGTGTATGACTAGTGTCTCCTGAGGACTATGGAAAATACCTTCTTTGGAGGACACCCCCTTTGAGGGGATTTACATATAAATTATGAAATATCTCATCGTCTACGTTTTTGCTCGCAATTTCTCTTGATAAATTAAGCTCACTATTTGATGGAGAGAGAGAAAAAAAAAATTAAACTGAGGTCGCTTTTGACTTGTTTACTGACATTTATATATATATCTGAGGATTTTATGAATACTGGTTTAATTGCCACCACCACCAACAATTACCGAACATCTGAGGATTATTGAATAAACGTATCAGAAATGATTATTGATTACACCATAATTTTGAATATATAGTAATTATCACTTTATAAAAAAAAGGCTTTATTCCTGTTTTAAGGTTTTACAAGTACACCACTTAGTTGGTCGAAATACTCTTCATAAAGTACAGACTGTGGTCTTTTTATGACCCCAAATTTTTCAACGCTATTTTGACGAGTTCCTAAAAATGGGTTCTAAATATACTGAATATATCCTGCAGCACATACATGTACGATACGAGGACAATGCATGCAGTGCAATCTTCTCCAAACGCACATTGAATCCTGCACCACATACAAAACTGTAATATACAAGGACACATGGGAACTTTCTTTTCCAAACATTGTTTTTCGGTCTCACTGAGCAAATCTTGTAAGGTCCTATGAGATACATTTATCTTTTCAGAGTTACTTCTCAAAATAATGAAGTACATCGTCTTTTAAAAAATCTATGGTTTCCATGCTTAATAGGCTCACCTTGATTATGCTACATGATGTACTGTTTTATCCTCTTTTTTCTTCTCTTCTTCCTTTTTTTTTAATTGTATTGTTCTTCCTTTTCCTTATTTCTAATTCTTATCCTTCAAGTTTTCTTTATTCTTCTTTTTCTTTTCTTAAGTTATTATCCTTTTTATTCTCTTCTTCCTTCTTTTAATCTTTCCTCATGCGTTCCTTCGTTATGTCATTTTTTTAATGTCTTCTTTCATCTTCCTTAATTGTCTAAATAGTTATGCTTCTTTCAATGTTTAAAAGTGAGCAGAGAAGATGGAGAAGAAGAAAAAACACTTCAAATTCGGCCACCCCTGGAAATACATAGAACACTGACTTATGTTTTCTGCTTCTATTGAAAGGGTGGACTTCCCTTTAACCCTAAAAGGGCCGGGCTATTTGAGGTCTTGATATGGCCGGGGGGGCATTATGCCCCCCCCCCTAAGATCTCGGCCGTGAAACGTCCGATCGCCGCGAAAATGTGCACGCATGTCAAGTCAAGTGTATTGAATACTATGGTTAATTTAATTTTTTGCATATGTATGGTAATTTATGAAAATAAGGTAATAAAATTCACCTGTTTACCCATACATCCTATATTATTTATATTTAAGTATTCTTTTTCACTACATGTATTCGTTAGACCATTTGAAACAATAATACGATAATGATAACAATTTTTGGAAGAGCTAGGTTATTCCTTATGTTATCTCTTATTTTGATAATTTCTTATGTATTTCATTGTTTTTTCAACTTCTGTATTTTATTTTATTCTTTTTATTTTTTATTTCTACTTACAATTCAACTATTTTGACTCCCAAAACAAACACCAAAACTTTAAACAAGACCCAATAACCAATGTTTTATCTCTTTTTAGGAAAAAATGGCATTTCCATATATGTTTTGTACACAAACCACGAAAATCAATTTCGGGCTGACATGCAAAGACAAAAGGTCATGTGACTCTGTAACTGTACCCCCGATTTAAAAAAAAATTGTTTTAAAAGATGTGCAAGACTCGAAAGAAAAAAGTCAGCGAGCGGCGGGGCGCCATCCGTATGCGTTCCCGAACAATCAGAAAAATCGCGGAGGGGGGGGGGGGGCGTGCATAATGGTCCCCGGCCTTATTAGGGTTAAGTCCTATCCAAGATACTTGGTAATGAGGATATGAAAAGATACTCTCTGTTGGCCTCAAGATATGCAGCAACAACATATGATTGCAGAAAAAAGGCAAATGGATTAATTATATATTGCATCAAAGAATAGCATGTACACTATAGTGTATTATGTATAAAATGTAGTGTCCGTAACATCCTATAGGATTTTGTACATAAGTTATTTTGGACAACTTATGATATGAAACGAGCCTTCCTAGCAATTTGATTTGTTTTTATTTGTATACAGATGGGACTAAAGTTTGTAATTTGTCTCATTTACCAATGTTTGGTTGGCTTTTAAAAAGTTTCAGGTTTTGAAAAAATGTCATTTATCAGATTTGACCTTGTGTTACTTCTGATGTGCATACTGCGTCTAATTTATGGACTGAAGTGAGTGTGAATTGTTTTATTTTTCACAAATGGCCAAGAAATTCCCCCAAAAAGTGCAAAATATTTGAGTGTTAAGATAAATAATGCTTGAAAATTCCATTTTGGTAGCTTTGTGTAGTGTCCGTAACATCCCATAGGATTATGTACATAAGTAAGTTTGGACAACTTATGATATGAAACGAGCCTTCCTAGCAATTTGATTTGTTTTTATATGTATACAGATGGGACTAAAGTTTGTAATTTGTCTCATTTATCAATGTTTGGTTGGCTTTTTAGAAAGTTTCAGGTTTTGAAAAAATATCATTTATCAGATTTGACCTTGTGTTACCTCTGATGTGTATACTGCGTCTATTTCATGGACTGAAGTGAGTGTGAATTGTTTTATTTTTCACAAATGGCCAAGAAATTCCCCCAAAAGTGCAAAATATTTGAGTGTTAAGGTAAATAATGCTGAAAAATTCCATTTCTGTAGCTTTGTGTAGTGTCCGTAACACCTACCACCCCCTGTGGTGTTGATACTCATAAAATGATAACCAAGATAGTTTCCTCAAGGATATTGCGGGGTATTAACCCCAGGGTATGGATGAACAATTTGGCGTTGATGAAACTGCTCTATTGCATACTTTATTTTTGGACCCAAGTGCAAATGGTTTTGCACCCTGATTGTGGCTATACCGACGGTAAAATAGGTCACTCAAGGATTTTTACTTTTTTGAGGCACTTCATGATCATTTTGAAGCACAATTTTGTTCGGGCTTCAATATTACACGATATCACAGACACTGATAACATGTAGGGCCATGCATCTCAGATTTAACATTGTTAAACGATGCCTTTAAAGTAAACATGTGTATAATGAACAATGATGTTTTTGTTGATAATAATTTCAAACTCATTAGGCGATAATTTATATATATATTTATATCAGTATAGAATCTGAAGATTGGTTTAACCCCTCCCCTGCTGTGAGCATCAAATTCTGTCAAGAATGTTGGTGTTCTTCTAAAAGTCTGAATTATAACTAGCCTTTTATTTCTTGATAATAAAGAAATACATGTAGGTACTAACATCATAAAGATTATTCTCATTTAAAAGCCAGTTTTAACGAATGAACACAAAAGTAGAAACCAAAATTGTATTGCTTAAAGGTAATACAAAGTTTTAGTATGGGGTCATGAATTTGGTTCAGATGAACATATTTGGACGCATATGCGGTCCTACAATATTCAGTGATCATTGTCGCGGTTGAAATCGAGTCTAAAGTTATGAAATTGTAAGTAATTAACTTTTTATCTTGTATAGCTCCCTCTCAAGGTTAAGATATAAATTAAGCTATAAAACAATGTTTCTTGACTAAAATCTACTGATTAATTGTTCCCGTTCGGAAATTATAAATCACAACTACACATTCTGAGATTTTCATGGTCGCAGCTACCATTGTACGGCCGTAGGCGCTATTTGAAATTTATCAAAATTTACCGGGAGCACCGGTAAATTTTTGTATTCAATTTTTCTCAAAAGTAGAAGTAGTTTAGGGGCTAAATTTGCTAGTGCTTATAATACATCCTCAGGGGCATCCAAATATATAAAAATTGTAAAGAATCATTATCCACCCAATTTTCAAAATTTCCCAAAACTTTGTATTACCTTTAATGTATATTAATAATTTATCAACAACCCAGTAAAACCAAACAGGTGTATCAGTCATCAATACTTAACCTGGGCCCTGTTTCATGAAATTTGTCATCAGTAACAGCTGTCACAATTCTATAAAATATTTGCTCATGGCTTATCATGTGCATACTTTCAGTATCAATTACTGACACTTTGTTATGTTGATAGTTTGGTAGACGTCCCTCAACTCGTCAGGTAAACACACCATTTTGTTTCTCTCTTTCTTTGTTTTTCTCCTGCAGGGTTCCAATGTCCTTGTAGCAGCAAACAGTCAGGGAACCATCAAGGTCTTAGAGCTAGTTTGATGATGGCCTAGCTCGACACCCTTCACTATTGCCTCATCCTAGAAATATATTCCACATCATTTGTCAACTCCCCATCTGTTTGTTCAACCATCACAAAAAAGAATAATAATACTGTAAGCGCTGTGGTCAATTAACGAAAAGCACTATTTAAGAATTTGAATTATTATTAAACGTTTTTCTCATATTGTTGATCTACTCTGCCAATTCCTGTGTTCATTTAACCATCACAGATTATCTGTCCATTCTTAAACAAATTCACCTCTTTACTCAGGGATTTGTTTGATTGAAGAAATTGTAAAGAATTGATGTCATCCATACCACTTGAAGGTATTGATCAAAGTTCAAAGATAATTTTGAGTTCTGGTTATAATCACAAATAGATTCTCACAGAACCAAGCAATACTTATTTATAACTTTCGGTCTACAGCATAAAATGCAATTTAGAATTGCTTTTACTCTTTATTCAATAAAGATCCAAAGCCAAGACTGCCACATTGTATGGAGTGTCATGATACATGAACATAGATACTGTATGGTGACAAAAGGTGACTGTGGCAGTCTACTCTTCCAATAATTGACCAAACCCTGAAAAGAATACAGCCATTTTCTTTTAACTTGCAAATCCATTACCAGAACTAAACATATTCTCTTGAATTCCGTGTAGGAGAACCATTTTCTTGGCCATCCATCCAGATATACATTTTGCAATTCTTTTATTTGGGTGCCAACATCACTTTTAAAAGAGGTATTTTTGTTGTACTTGTAGTACTCTGTTACCAAGTTTATATTTCTATGATTTATAAATGTAGATGATTTAAAAACTAGATGTGTCTGTAAATATTGCAGTTTGCCATTTTAAATCAAATTAGAACACTGCTGCTTACTCTCTAAGAGGTTAGGGACATTGTGGTTAACAAGTTATCCACTAGAGTCTACTACCACTGCAACTAATTCCAGGAACAAGCTTTTATTTACTTTCTAGTTCTATGTACTAGGACAATGCGCCAACCTTAACAAAATAATCTTAAAAATTCAAATTAAAGGTAATCTTCCTTTGAGGAAATTCACTACTAATGGAATAGTTTCATCTTTTGAATGTATTGCTAGCTGTTGACAATATTTTTATATGTTGTGAAATGTCTTTTTTTGCATCAAATGCAAATGGTAGAAAACCAAAGGTGAAGAATTATCTTATATGTGTGTGTGTCCACCTATTTTCTGCAATGGTCTGTAGCCAGTGATGTATACAAGTATTCCCATTTACTCTATTTTTGATGTAGTCAAGACTATTATATTAAGCTTTTAATTCCTATATGTAGAGGTCTCGTGGTCAAGTGGATATGTCACCGGACTGTGGACCACAAGGTCCGCGGTTCAAATCCTGCCGCGGCACTAATGTCCTTTGGCAAGACATTAATCTAAGTTTGCCCACACTCGGCCCAGGTGAGGTAAATGGGTACCTGGTAGGATTATTCCTTGAAATGCACTGTGCACTAATAACAGCTGCCAGAGCTAAAGCTAGGGTATTAATTTCCAAAGCTCTTTGGAAACGCATATGTAATTTATATAATGTGATATGCGTAATTATTATTACAGGAACACCCGTTTTCTGGAAAAAAGCCTGAATTCAGCCCCTAGCAGTTTATTATTCAGCCACATTTCAGGCTTTTTGTGTACAAAATAGAAAGTGTTAAAAGACCATCAGGCCTACTCATGAATTCTAACTGGCAACCCTGTTCCAAGAGTTTGGCTAGGAGATCACAAGAAAGGATATGACTTTTCCTTTTCTCCAGCTGCAAAACTCCCAACACCCTGTAATAGCAATGCTATTACTCATGATCAGGAAGAATTTAAATCATTATTGAGTCCAAAATCTTATCCTATTCATTTTCAGTCAAAATTCAGGTGTAGGCTAGTTGTAAGTGTAACGATGGTTTTCAGATTGTTAAATTCAAACTCAGTCCATCAAAAAGTATGTTATCCAAGAATCAATTTTTCAAATATTTACTTTATCCACCTGTTTCTAATTTTCTTTCTTTCTTTTTTTTTTGAGAGGGGGGGGGGGCATTATCTGTATAATTGAGCTTCAAGGTTGTATACCTATTTGATGATCTTCAATCCATTTGATATAATAGAAAAATTGGTGGCAGAGAGTTCATTCACAGGGCATTATCATGGGGGGGGGGGGGGGCACGGGCTGCTTGCTTGCAAGTAATTTAACATGTGGGGCTTCCTGAATGACACATTGTAATGAATCTCTGATCAATCCAATGCATCTAAAACATGTATTTTCTTTTCTTGATCTTTTTACTGATGTGTAGTTAGAGTTATGTTTACCAATCCACAGACTATGTTATATAAGTATGTTCAAACTGCTCATTGATATTTATTTACATATCAGTATCTTTATATTGAATAGTGGTTCATCTCAATGTTTTCTCACTGATGATTTATCAAAGGTGCTTGCATATTACTATTGTTGATTTTGCCCTGCGCTTTATGTAGGTTTGATCAATTTCTTATTTCAAGTTGTACAAACAGAGATATTATTTTTTGAGCACATGTCCTACCCAAGAAATCCTCTCCTTTTTTTTTTGGAATTGTTATCTGCATGGAAATTATCTAAAAAGGAATCCCAGATTTTATTCCATCTGATGATATGTGACCCTTATCACAGTCTAAGCCCCATTTTATGAAGAGTTTTGATTGATAAGATTCAATCAATTCAATCATAAATCAGCCTCTCAATCAACTATTTTGATCGATTTCAAACTCAAGTTAAAGAGAAGGTTGAGTGCTGGGAAGTGGTTAAAAATAATTTGTGAGCATTATCATTGTCTTATGCAAGTGTGGAAGAACATCAGATAAAAAATGTTCCCTGAAAAGCATGGCTCTTCAACTGCCTTAGTATTTTAAGTATGGCATGCAACATTATGAAAATGGGGACAGATTTTTATGCCACATGTTCGTGTAGTCCCATATACATCTTTCTGTGTACAGTGCTTGTAACTTTACCAAGACTGGGCCAAATTTCTTATCATTTTGATGATACCTTAACCTTGCAGTACACACCAATACTTATATGCTAGATGATCAACCTTTTCTGATCGATTCCACAACGTTTCTTTCACAATGCAATCGCATGACCAGAACTCAACTTTATCTTTAAGTTGCAATTGATTTGGATCAGTTAATACTCTTCTATTCGTTCCTTGTCTTTTCTGAGGTTGTTAAGTTAGTTGGTGACATTCATCACATTGTTGCTATGTCAGGAATTTTCAGGAGTCCTTAAAAGTTGTAAAAAGGTGACCCTATAGAAGAAGTTTAACCTTTTTATTTGTTAGTAATAAAAGGGATCTTCGCAATTTGAAAATTGGGTGCATTTCCTTATTTGTCATTAATACAAAGTGGTCTGCTTGTTTTACAATATTTAACATTGCCGAACTCATTAAATTTAGTCGGAATTACTCTATTTAATTCAAATATCTCAATCGCCAATAGATAATTTATACATGTATAGAGAGAATTTACTGTAGAAATACTGCTGAATGAGAAATCAGTTCTGATTAATCACCTATTTGTGTTGTCAGCTTGTTGTATCTGGTACTATTAAGTTGGTTGTGTTTACCGATTCATAGTATTATGTAATAAGTTTGTTATTTCAACATGTTAATGTACAGAATTCCATGTATGTCTCTATGAATTGAATTTATGTAAAAAGGATAACAAATGAAATCCATGATTATGGATTGTATTAATGCACATTGAAACCAGATGGTTGCACATGTATCTGCCTGTATATGGGAGAACAAAGAAAGATATTAACACTATAATATCTGAATTATTTGTTGGATTTCTTATTGTGTTGCTCTTTGTATTGGAAAATGAAAGAAGATTTGATGAAAGAGAGATTGAGAGGAATGAATGAATATGTATGGATAATGATCTTTATACACTATACAAACAATCTGTTTGCCTTTGGGCTGTCTACAATGCTGTTTCAAAATAGACATACAATTTGTCAACTCAAAGATTTAAAAATGCCTTCTACAAATCAATATGTCCAACAGTAGCATGATAGAAAGATATTGAGGGTTCAGTCACACAAAGACGTAACTCCATATTTTGTGAAAAATGAGTATTTGATATCAAAATGTTGAGAAAAATGTGGGCTTTCCAGGAAACACAAAGACGTAACTCCACCCAACACCCCATTGATGTCAATGGCTAGTGAAACATAGTGGACCTCTATCTTTAAACCACTTTTTCTAAAAATGGCCAAAACGGAGTTACGTCTTTGTGTCACTGCACCCCTCGATTTTGAAGTTTAATGAAGGAAGAGTATAACGAAAAGATGAAGACCGAATTTAATGGGAAGAAGGCAATATATATATTGCTACAGAATAGAATATGAAAATAAGAAAATTATGACAGAAAAAAAGATGATTATATCAGTGGCAGAGATATCATTTATTATTGTTAAAGGATCTGCCTCTTTATACCACATTAAACAATTCAAAAACGTGGTTGAGTTATCTCGAAATATGTTCAATGCGAAACATAACTCCGCAAAATACGTACCGGTATGTACCTCACTGCATCGGAATGGATCAAAGACGTTGAAGTTTATTCATTCAAAACGCCCTCTCTCGAATTAATGCACGCACTAAGAACATATCATGCCAACTATTATCTGCTGGTAAATCTTTACTGGTATGTGATATTAAAAACTATATAAATTATATCAGAGCAGGGATATCTCTGTAAAGAGTTAAATCTTTCTCAATTTTAAAGTCATTTGATGACTAATGTATGCATGGACGTAAGAGGCATTTTCATCCTGGAAGGGGGGGAGGGGGGTTGCCGTCTAGATCTCTTGTTTAACAACTTTCCAGTTTCTAAAATAAAGAACTGAGCGGGCGAACAAAATGGTGTATTATCAATTTATGACAATAGACTGATTAATTTTTGAAGTTTATTAAATATCATGTACAGATGTATAAACTTTTTTTTTAATTGTGAACTGACTACCTTGAAAAAGTGCCTTAATTTAAATTTAGGTCTATTCTGTCCCTACAGTGTTTCGAATTTCACATTTATATAATAATTTAACTAAATATCCTATATCATTATTTAGTGATTTTAGTTAAGTTTTGTTATTGTTCATGCCCCGTTTTGAAATCTTCATCACTTTGATGATAACCTTAAAAAAATAAAGAGACATCCTCTATATCAGCACAAGTATATAACCAAAGTCCGTGAACTTCCGTGAACCTGCGAAAGAGAGAATCAAATCAAGAAACAGTTCTAAAGCCATTGAATACTCAATCAAACAATCAAAGCCAGCAATCTCACAATATGATTTTGTCACGAAATCAATGTTTCGGACTGATTCTGTCACGAAATCAATTTCACAGA